AACAAAAAATATGCAAAGGTAAAGATTATAGAACATGTAGACAATTGCAAGTCACGTACAGTGGAATAAAAAAATGCTAAAACTATATAATAAAAAATTAGTAATTATACGTTTAAAATTCCTTATGACTGAGAAATACAGGTCGAACAATTTTATAAACCGTACTCCTCTGTAATTATCATTTTTCTAAAAGTTCATTGCTTCAAATATTGGATACAGCATTTTATTACATGTCTTAAACTTTTGCTAGAGATTTTACGGCTCATGCAATCTTAAAAAATTAATTTATGCTGTATGAAACAATTGTCACGGTATAATTTAACGTTTGTAGAAAGTATTTCCAGAAATGTGGAGTTGGACTAATTCTTTAACGAAAAGACTACGCGTCGGCGTATCGACGGGCGCATAAATTTGAAAGAAAAAGTGACTGGAATCATCGAGAAAACGGTGCAGCGATGTACAATCAAACGGAATCAATTACTTTCGAGTGAAGGCACTTTTCCCTCGGGTTTTTTCAATGGAAGATCTACGTGCATCGCTCACGTCAATCTCCGTAAAACGCCTTCTACGTTTCTCTTTGTCCCAATAAATTGCTCGAATGAAACTGGACGTAACTGCGCAGCGAACGCAATAACCAACGTTACGGTCCTCCTACTTTATGACTTTTAGCATGATTTTATTACAGTTCGTGCTTGGTTCTTCAAGATAAAGTATAAAATCGTGAGTCTAAAACCGTTCCGACTACTTTAAATTGTTCAATAAATATTAATCATAAAACTCTGAGATCCCATTAAAAATATGACTAGCTAAGAATGAAACAAATTCCGACAAGAATTGGAAATAAAAAAAGGACATTGAGGTGTGCGAGTTTGTTCAAGCTTCATCCAAGAATTTATCATGCAAAAGATTGTTTAGAGAACGAACGTTTCGCGATGGTATATTTACAAGTCCGCAAAAATATGTTCTTGTGTTTACAGCTGATATACAGGTCTGATATTTTGCCTCTCTTTTTCTCACTACTTTTTCGTTTAAAATATGCCAGCCGTAGATCTAAGCCGCGTGGGCACGCCGCCGTCAGCGAAACAATGAGAAAATTCCTGGCGCCAAACCCGGGGCAGTTAAATCACGCAACACGGTGTATCGCGTGGCTTCATCGCCAAAATCGATACCACCGCACGCAGTTTCGTACGCTCAGAGAAAGAGTCCTTTTGAAACCAAACAACGCGGTACTTAGCGATTGTACACCGAATAAACTGTTTCCACTGGTAGACTTGGCTGGTGGACGATCACAGTGTTTTAAATAAAAATCAAAGTTTAACTTCAATTCAATTATTCAATTAAAAATATCTTACTTATCTTGCAAAAGATGCATCACTTATGTTAAAATAATGAGTCTCACTGCGATTCTCAACCAGCCATTAAAAACATAATTCTATTTACATATTCTATTTTCTTATACAATTTCAATTTTTCGACACATGTAATCAAATTGTGTAAAACAATAATTTTGTAAACTCTTTAACAGACTTCACATCTCAGTCTGTATAACTGTAATACATGTACAATTTTGTAAGAGATTTGTTAAAAAATAAAATAAAGAAATAATCGAACAGAGACGTTATCTTTTATCGATCGAAATTTCCAAACGCAACTCCGCTTCGTACAATATCAAGCAGAGAGACGTTTTATTAATCCGGTAACAGGGATGAAAAGAATGAAAGAAAAAAAGAAAGAAAGCAAAACGTAGGAACGACATTCGATTTTACATCGTGCGAAAAGAAGGTAATGATGTAACGCTAAAACTGTACAATGTGTATTTCATAGATCCAGGCCGCTTATACGTGCTCGCGTTACAAGTGTTATTCGCATTTATCACGCGTTACTATATACAAATCGATACATAGTCCGCGTACTTTTAAAATCAGCTACGATTTTCCCCTTTAAAGCATTTTAAACAAGAAGAAAATATTC